CCCCCCTCCCGCCGGGCGGGCCGGACACTGGGCTTCCCGCCAAACGCGCAGACGGCGGCTGCTGTGCCAGTGCCTGTGTGTCCGGGAGGTTGGGAAGGGAGGACCCTGCTATTTGCATCAGAGTCAGGAAGTTGATCTGTTGCAGCTGCAAGAAAATAAAAATCAAAGACACATCTGAGAATATAATGGGAAAAAACATGAAGAACCAACAACGATCAGCTGCCTTCTCCACCAGTCGCACCTCTGTCTTCCTTCGCGTCTGCGAGACCCAGGAACGCTGAGCGGGAAGCGCAGCTGGGAGGCTGTTAGTAAAAAGGAAAAGACTGGCTTCCTGTCTTCACGGAGCTGCCCCTGGGAGCACCCGTGCGGCAGTTTGCGTGAGTACCCCAGCGATCCCAGAGGAGGGTCTAATGGGCGGGAGGTGATCACAGAGAATTCAAAGATGGGTGTGTGCCGGGGGCTCCTCACACGGGCACCACCTTGCCGGCTGGCCAGCAGCCCCTGAACACGGATGAACAGATGACTCTGGCACAGCTTCACTGCAAAAGAGAAGGCTAAGGGACGGCTTGGCTGACAGCAACCAGGCCTCCTCGACTGCCTGCCTCGTTAGGCTTTTGTTGCAGTTTTTATCTTTAGATACAATCGGTGGAGTGAGTAATCTTGGGAGGACACGTGTTTACACTGTCCGCTAGGCGAGGGCATCCAGGAATTAGGCATAAGGATTCCAGTAAGCACCCGGGGTCTGCAAGTGCAGAGACTTGTTTGGAAAGGTCAAGGAGTAACTAGGGGCACCACCTTCAACACTCGCCTAAGGCTCCCCTAAGTCAGAACTCCCATAAACAGGGCAGGCGGCCTTCCACACACTTCCTTTTTCGCAGAATGTCCTCCTTACCACCAAGGTGTGTGGGCGGGTTTTCAGGAAAGAAAACAGCAGAGATTGGCAGACGGGTGAGGGTGAGGAGCTCCCAGGAAGGACTGGCTGGGTCAAGTGCAAGCACGCACCCCCGGCTGACGCCTGCGCAGCATTCAGTCCCCATGGCAGGTGAGCCCCAGGCCACTGGCCTCGGATGCCTGGGGACGGCAGCCAGGATGACATGTTTTACGAGGAGGAGGGGGCTTTCTCCACCTGGCCCAGCAGGGTGCCCTGCAGAGAGGAGCAGCGGGAAGAAGGGCCGTTCTGCCATTTCCGAGGTCGTGACCAGAGAACACCATCAGCATCAACAGGCGCATCACGGAGTGGGTGTCAAAAAGCGGCCCCCGGGCACCCACAGGTCCAGGGATTTGCCACGAAGGAGATGGGACCCAGACGTGCGCACTGACACCGGCTCAACAAACAGTCTGGGCCCAGGAATAGGGACTGTCCCACAGTCCGGGGCGCTTGTCCAGAAACGTAACGAGGATGAAGATTTGCCAAACAAGCTCTAGACGCTGGTCACCTACGAACCTGTCACCACTTCCAAAAAGAGAAGGAAGGCAGGGGTGACTGACAGTGATTCTTAACCTTTGCGAGAAGCCAAATTATTTGCAGAATTGGTGAAATACACAGGGCAGTGACCAGCAAAGGCCCTGTGCAATCCAAGAAACAAGTTTGAGAAATGCTTCTAAAACTTTAAGCTGTTAAGACAGGTTATAAAAAGGAAAAGGACTGGGGAGAATAAAAATAAAATCAGTTTCAACAGTGGAACAGGCAGAAAAGTATTCTCATCAGGCCCATAAGTTCAAAGACATCAAGAATCACCAATGAAAATGGTGTATCGCATCCCATGCCTGGAGAACGGAGTTGAGGGAAACGAGTATCTAAGGTACAAAGCGGGAAAGGAAAGTAATTTTAAACTTCGGTAGACAGAGAGGAGGATGACCAGGTGAGAACAAGACGCTGCAAGTCAAAGGGAAAGTACTTTGACCTGCAGCCGGCAACTTCCAAGCAAGCCCCGGCCGGGTGTGCGGGACCTAGGCGGTGGCAGGTAGTGACAGGTGGTGGCAGGGGTGAGCTCAGGGCCCTCTGAGCAGGAGTCCGCTGGGCGGGTTTGACCCCCACCTCACTTTGTGGGCACCTCTGTGTCTCGAAACGCTCAGTAAAACCAGTCAGCCTCTAGGCCAGTGGTTCTCAACCTTCCTAATGCCGCGACCCTTTAATACAGTTCCTCATGTTGTGGTGACCCCCAATTTCATTGTTACAAATGGAACATAATTAAAGCATAGTGATTAATCACAAAAACAATATGTAATTATATATGTGTTTTCCGATGGTCTTAGGCGACCCCTGTGAAAGGGTCGTTCGACTCCCAAAGGGGTCGCGACCCACAGGTTGAGAACCGCTGCTCTAGGCCCTAGAGATCTGGGCGTCTGAATGAGCAAGTGCCCAAAGCAGAGAAGCCGGGCGATTCCATTCCAGCCGCCCCTTCCTGGACGTGTGTCCATATGTGAGAACCTCACATGCATCACGTGTGGCCTCACGCGCTCGTGGCAGAGCTGCTCACCTGGACTAACTTGAACACCTCGTCCTGGAGCATCTGCCTAACAGAACCGGGAGAGTGTGGCAGCCGCGCCCGGGGCTCGCCGCGAGGGGCCGGCGGGGGGGTGGGCACCAGGGTTTGTGAAGCAACGCTGACTCCATTGGGCACCACGGGTGGGTCTGGAGACGATTTCTCTTTACATTCAGGGGTCTGTGCACTGCGCGGGGAGCGTAGGAACAGAAATCACACGTTAACCAACACAGCACATTACATGCCTATGATCTGAATATCTGGGTCCTACTCGTTTCTTCTACTTTAACAGCTTTCTCACAGTTTTCAGGAAGTTTAAACCCTCCAGCCTCCTCTCTGTACCCCTCGCATCTGGCACCACCAGACACACTGGTCGTCAGCGCTTTCACTAAGAGGCGTGTGCTGCACGGTCAGCCTGGTCCCCTCCCTGTGTGACAAGCCAGAGCAGTTCACACAAGTATCTTACTGGCCTGCTCCCTGTAGGCATCGGAGTTTGAGACTGTGCAAGTCATCTTTCCGCTGTACAAACTATGTAATTTGGTTTGAGAATATGTGTTTGTTTGTTTTTAACTACATTTAATGACCCAGAGTGGAGTTAAGAAAACAGGGAATGTGCCTGGCTGGTGTGGCTCAGTGGCTGAGCATCGACCATGCACCCAGAGGTCACTGGTTCGATTCCCGATGCCCGGGTTTCAGGCTCCATCCCAGTAGGGGGCGTGCAGGAGGCAGCCAATCAATGATGCTCTCTCATCACTGATGTTTCTATCTCTCTCTCTCTCTCTCTCTCTCTCTCTCTCGCTCCCTCCCTCTCCCTTCCTCTCTGAAATCAATAAAAACATATACAAAAATTAAAGAAAACAGGGACTGTATGGGTTAAAAATGTTTAATTCTAAGATGGGTTAAAAAATGTTTAATTCTAAGTTTGCTATACAGCAAACTCACACTGACCATTAAATGTGAAATAACAGTATTATGAACATTTCATTTCCGAACAAATCAGAGTTTGTTTTTATAATTAAACCCTAACCAACAAACTAAAATAATTATTCCTTAACATAGCAGATACTCAATGTTTTCTAAGCAAATCAATTTCCTAAACTAAATAAGGGAGCAGGCATTATCCTACCCAAATAAACTGATCATTGTCTCTAAAAAGAAAAGAACGTATTAAATCGCATTTACACTTATGAGGCCTTGCTCTCATTTCCTTTCAGCAATATTCGCCTTTTACCAAACACCTAAGGTTCACAAGAACAAAAGCTCACTTGTCAACTTCATGGAAAACAGGCATTACAACTCATTTGCCTGCCTTAGACAATGTTGTTAGCCTTTGCTGTCAATGAATAGCAAGGAGGTCAATTCTAGCGATGGAGAAATTTTCTAAAGTAAAGCTGTGCTATATGATCCTCCTCCCAGCAAGATTTCCACACGGACACATGGCTCCGTCTCTGCGAAGATGCAGCGGCAGACTGGACGCGTCTGCTCACGGATAAAAGCATTCTGTGTGCTGCTGGAAACCGCTAGAGGCTGAAAGTGAGCAACTGCCACATCTCTTGATAAGAGAGCCACTACTTTTTTCAGAAAGCCTGTTCTAAAATAGTTCCTGTATTTCTTTAAAACACACCTATTAAAAAAAAAAAGAAAGATTTTTCTCTAATATATTTTTTATTGATTTTTTACAGAGAAGAAGGGAAAGGGATAGAGAGTTCGAAACGATAATAAGAGAGAAACATCAATCAGCTGCCTCCTGCACACCTCCTACTGGGGATGTGCCCGCAACCAAGGTACACGCTCTTGACCAGAATCGAACCCGGGACCCTTCAGTCTGCAGGCCGACGCTCTATCCACTGAGCCAAACCAGTTAGGGCTAGAGGAAAATCTTTCAATAATTCACTTAAAGGTGTCAGAAATGTGTACCTACGTCACTTTTTTAATGCTTCATGTTGATTTAATATTATTCTCTTAGTTTTTGGTGAAAACATTCAGTAATTATTTCAAAAGGTACAGGAGGCATCAGTTTATTCTCTTATCTATTTATAAAACAGGATAACACGGTAGTGTATGCAAAAGTTCTTACCTAGGAATTTCTGAACTTCTGTCTACACAAAATGAATGAGGAATGGTATGTTCATGATTTGAAAAGGCTTCGATCATACTACAATTAAAGATTAATGATCGCTTAGGAACCAAGATATTCTTTACATTCTGTAAGAGACAGGCGATTGAATGGCCAGCCATCTCAGAGTCCAAACATCCTCTACTCCAGCCTCTGTGAAGTTAGCTCATAATTACCACCTGTTTACATTTGTCACCATAGCAATTAGTAACAGATTCAAACAAAGCCAACAGCTATGTCTGGATGGCTTCACGACTTGGACACTGTTGCCTGCTCAGCAACAGGAATAAGAAAATCTCAAATGAGGGTGGAGAAATGGGGTGAGCTGGGACCTCAAGTTCCACCTGTGGAAGGGGCAGACCTTTGCTCAGAACACGAGAGAGCCCATTCTCACATTCGAAACTGTAAAGACTGGTTTTAGTGACAGAAATATCTCTATTACTTGTAAAGGCACATGACATTAAATATATTCTTCTTGTTAATTTTCCACAGAACCGAACAAATTTTTTACACTGAGAAGAGAGAGAGAATCTAATTATGTTGCCTCTCATGAAAGGCAATTCTAAAATTTCAAATATTTAGCTCTCCTTGAAACGTAACTAAGCTAGCCAGCAGAGTATATTACACCAGCAGAGTATATTACACCACTATTCATTAGCCTTATGAACAGTGTTCAATAATTAAACCACAATAGTGACAGATTGACTCACAATGGTTCTTCATTTGATCCAATAAAAAAGGAATCAGTATGGAAGAGTGGTTTCCTAATTAGCTGTTGAATAAACCCTGGTGAATTTGCAGCTACATTTTACTTTGATAAGGCTGAGAGTGATGGGAGAACAAAAGGCTAGATATCTTTACTTATTTCACTCTACTGAGATTCACGAGTATAAGTCACTACAACTCATCACTTACCATTGCTATAAACTGAACTTACAATTCCATTAGGAGCACAATATCACCATAACATGTATATCGTAAATTGTAAGAAACAAAATCCATCCACTAAGTGAATCCGAGATGAGCCCTGAGCGCCCTTCGCCCGTTCCCGGATGGACACACGGCAGTTGCCATTGCTTCCATCGCCCGCCCCTTACCCATTCTGTGCCGCTGGCTTTTCCTCCACACATTTCTCCACTGGTTCCCCCCGTGGACACGGAGCCGCTCCTGTGGAATGCTGTTAGGAGGAACGGCACCCAAAAAGAAAAGAGGGAGACAAGTAGGTATTACAGGCGGTGTCTTGAGTTGGTCTTGACATCAGTCACTCACCCAGAGTGACAAGTTTCAAAGCCAGTGAGAGACCAAAACTTAACAGTGTAGGCCCTGCTCTGACCAGACCTTACTCTGTGCACTGCTTCTGCCCATAACCGGGAGCCACTGGGCATGTTCAAGTACAATGTATTCACAAGCACATGTGTATCCAGACATCGTTACATATGTACATTGTGAGAACAATGAGAAAACCAGGAAAGATTAATCCTTTTTAAAGGAATTGTTTCAACAATTAGAAATGTCTGCATTCCACCTGGAAATGCAGTGTTCACTGTTTTGAGAAAACAATCCTATATAATAAAAGGCTAATATAGAAATCGACTCAATGGTGGAACAACCGGTTACTATGACATGCACTGATCACCAGGGGGCAGACGCTCAACACAGGAGTTGCCCTCAGTGGTCAGTGCACTCCCGCAGGAGGAGTGCTGCTCAGCCAGAAGCCGGGCTCATGGCTGGCGAGCCCAGCAGTGGTGGCAGGAGCCTCTCCCACCTCTGCGGCAGCACTAAGGGTGTCCGACTGCCGGCTGTGGGGAGCGGGTGGCAGGAGCCTCTCCCGCCTCTGCGGCAGCACTAAGGGTGTCCGACTGCAGGCTGTGGGGAGCGGACCTAAGCTGTCAGTCAGATATCCCCCGAGGACTCCTGGACTGCAAGAGGGCGCAGGCCAGGCTGAGGGGACACCCCCCCAGTGCACAAAATTGTGCACCGGGCCTCTAGTAGTACAGAGAAGTGCACGTAAGTGCAAACACTGCACACGACAGCTGAGTTACATATTTTGAGTAAAGAACACCTTCCTCACTCTTGAGTATCTTAATTTGCTGCACAGTCCATGACATGAACATTTAAGTCACTGCCTGACATGACTAGAGGCAGAATTTCAGTGGAAAAAAACACTTCGCACAGCAGCACTGCAGTCCGCGGCGTGCTTTGGAGATGAGGGCCTTGGTCGGAGGCGCCGACTAACAACACTGAAGTGTCACTGAAGTGACTTGAGCCGCTATGTGTGGACTTACTTCTAACAGCCGCGATGACGTCTGCGAGTGAGCGGCGTGGGGACCCTCGGGGCTTCCCACAGGTCCTTTGGCATCTTCTGCAGCGAAACAAGGGAGAGAAAAGGGACCATTTGGAAAATGATCGTTTCACTCTTTAGACGGTTCAGGACTTAATACAGAGAAAAATAAAATGGCAGAAATACTGTACATCCTCCTTACAGAAACACGTAAAACGCCTGGAGACAACCCCTCCTTGTCAAGTGGTCTGAGATGAGCCTGGAGAGGCCTCCCTCGGTGTGAGCAGCCCCACGGAGAGCCCTGAGAGCCCCTGTGTTAATGAAGACGGTGAGGAGAAGGCCACAGAACAAGAGCCCCAGGGCAATTACCCAGCACAGCAAAGGTCTAACGATTTAAATTCAGGTTAATGTGCTCAACACGTCAAACGTATTGAATTCTGTTTTAATTTTTTATTTTAGACTATTATAAACATACCATTTTAGACATAAGACTAAGTTATCACCGATAATCATTCGCCAATTTCAAATTAATAAAGCCAAGCAAAAAGATTAGCCAAATGAACTGACCTTCATGGTCTGGTGGGAGCGTCTCCAGTTCCTCCTGTGTAAATGTGTCTCCTCTTAAAAGATCCTCATCGATGATGTCTACAACTTGTTTATCGGTGTCATCAGTGACAGAAATACCCTCCTCACTGGTTTCCTTTATTTCAGGGGTTCTGGCTTCAGCTGGCATTCTACTGGCAAAAATGAAGCAGCTGTAACTGTAACTCATCTTGGGAAACAAGAAGCCGGCTTTCAATTGATACAGTTTATTGAAAAAGAACAAACTTAGTGCCTATATTTATCAGGTCTTGTGTTTTAACCACGCCTGGTCCACAGCAGCAGCTCAAGGGAAGGTTGTTCAATGAATGACAGGGCCTCCCACTGTATTTACTCAAGAGATTAGAATAATGTCAACTCCTTCAAGCTTGCCCCTCTCACCAGGACTCCCCTGCGTACAGGCTCCACCTTGGGGTCCAAGGACAGACCCCCCAGATCACTGCTTCCCAGAGGAAAAGGGGCGAGTGATCCGTTCAACTTCCTCTGACATTGGAGACCCATTCGCATAACAAGGAGTCCCTCAGGATGAGCCGCTCCGCCCTCAGAAGGTAAAGGCTAGGCCGACAGGGAAGAGTGTGCAAGGAGCTCCTAAAGCACTTCAGAAAGTGCTCACTCCCGGTTCTCTAGTGCAAGGACATGCTTCTTCCCTTCACCTTCAAGGGTGCAAGCCTTCCCTTCAAGCCGAACGGCATCAAACAAGGCGTCCTCCGTGGAAAAGGAGGCCGCAGTCAGCACTTACTTCCAGACGCTCCCGCGAGGTTCACTGTGGCCATCCCCTCCGTCAGGCCCCGCTGGCCCGGACCCTGCTGCCCCCCAGCAGCCGGCGCGCATCCCGCAGGCACCCTCACTGGGGGGCCCCATCGGAGGCCCGGGGCGAGGACGCTCTTGCACCTAGAACAAGCCATTTGCAGTACTTAGATCCCACCACTAATCCATGCTTTTCCTTATGTTTTATATTAGCTAATCCTTCCCACAGAACTTCTCCTGGTGACGTTTCTCACTCCTTTGCCAGGTACGAGTGCACATCTATCGGATGCGGAGGCAATGGCCAAGTCTTATTCCGCCCGGAGAAAGCAAACCTGACCACCTGAGCAGCAGTCACACGAATCGGCCTCAGAAATGCCTAAGGGGAACCACCTGTGTCCTCAGGCCACAGGAAAACAGCAATACACGTGCAGAGTTCTTCCTTTTAATTCTCTTTGCTGTTATAAAGGCAGGAATTACTTCAGAATGACACAGGAGACAAAAATAGTTACAGCTAAAAATGCAATGGGTGAAAAGCTTTCATCGCTTTCTTAGATATTTAGTTATGGACCACCTAGAAACACACATTTCCGTGACAACAAATATCACAGTATCTTATCAACTACCTTAGGACAACAAAAACTGATCTAAAAAAAAAAAAGAAAACTTCATAAAAAATAACACACACACACACACTCTCACATCCTTCATCTTAGTACAAGCACGTCAACACACACACACACACACACACACACTCTCTCTCTCCCATGCACCCTTCATCCTAGTACAAGCACGTCCCACTTGCAGCCCGCAGGCCCCACACCTCGTTTATTTGGCCGGCGTTGGCCTTTGAGTTTGACATCTCGTCCTAGAGTAAACGATTTTCAAATGGAGGCAGTTTAAAACAGAACAAGGCAGAATTAGACCATGGAGGGGGTCAACCGAGACGGTGGCAGGAGGCTCCTGGGCTCCCCTCCTCCCACGGACACTAAATGTACCACTACACACGCAGCGTCACTAGCGTCACTGCTGAGAGGAACCCCGAAAGGAGAGGACAGAAAGGGGCAAGGTCACCTCCAGCAGCAGATCTGGTAACACCCCTTAAAAATGGTCCTCGTTTCCTTTTTATCAACAGACACAAAGCCTTCAAAACTCACAGAGCACTTGTACCCCAATTAATCACTTTTAAGACTTAAAGGAACCCCTTGAAGAAGAAAAAAATTAGGTGATTATAATCAACTAGAGGCCCAGTGCATGAAATCCGTCCACTGGAGGGGAGTGGGAGTCCCTCAGCCCGGCCTGCACCCTCTCACAATCCGGGACCCCTCGGGGGATGTCCGCCAGTCAGAGACCCCTCGCTCCTTACCGCTTGGCTCGCTGCTCCTTAGCACTGCCACGGAGGCGGGAGAGGCTCCCACCATCGCCGCTGCGCTTGCCAGCCATGAGCCCAGCTTCTGGCTGAGTGGCACTCCCGCTGTGGGAGCGCACTGACCAGCAGGGGGCAGCTACTGCATTGAGCATCTGCCCCCTGGTGGTCAGTGCATGTCATAGCGACCGTTTGTTCTGCCGTTCAGTCAATTTGCATATTAGGCTTTTATTATATCGGATAATCAGATTATACTCAATCTTGTCATTAGCTTAGTTTCTTAATAATCCTTCAACACCTGGGGAAATGTAAATATACTTTAATCTGAAAAGAGAGTTCCCATTTGCGTGTAGTAACTCAGGCACTTACCTCCATAACGGCACTCCTGGCCTTGTACGCAGCAGCGTAGGGCTGTTCCGAGAGCCACAGTGATGTCAGAATGGCAGCCGCAGAGGTTCTCACCCGGAGGACGGGCCGGGCCTGGGCTGGCGCCGGGAGGCTGGGGTCGCAGGGCAGCCTGCGGGCGGCCCACCGCAGCATCCACTCCAGCAGCCCCCGCAGCCCCGCGCCGCCCGCTGCACCCAGCGCAGGAGGGAGCTCGGCTAGGGGGCCCGCGTCACTGCCCTCGATCGCTCTGAACACACGCCTTCCTCGGCGACTGCCCTCCGGAGCCCACGGACGCCGGCTTGGACTCCGGCTCGACACCCTCAGGATGCAAGGCTTCCCTGCCCCGTCCCCCTGTGTCCTGTAGAGGGCCTTCTGCTTTAGGCCGAACAAGCCGCTCCTGCCCCCACTCTCATTAAAATCACCGAGGAGGTTCTCTGGAGGAGGCTTGGTCCCTGCGGCCAGCCCTGGGGCTGGAGGCGCCGGGCCTTCCGGGTCCTCAAGCTGCGGAGCGACCTCAAAGCAGGAGCCCGCTCGGAACACGCCCTGGCCCCTGGCTTGGCCCGGGCGGTGCAATGCTGCGTGCAGGCCCGAGAGCAGAGGGTTGAGTTCCTGTTCTCTAAGGTGCCCCGAGAAGCTCGTCAGCAGCGGGATGCCGGGGTCCTCGCTCCCACGCAGGTCTCGCTCCAGGACGTAACTCAGGAAGAGGTCCAGGAACTTCAGGTACTCGTCGTCATCGCGTTCAAACTCCCAGACGCCTATCACGGGCGGGGCGCTCTGCGACACCGGCTCCTGGCCTCTTCTCGCGGGGCTTCCTGTCGGATCACCCACGCTCTCGTCAGCACTGGGCTTAGCAGTCAACGTGGATTCCACGTGACTTGTAGCCTTTCTACAGCAAAACGAAATTAGAAAAGACAAAGTTAATCATTTAATCAGTAAGTCTTACGTTAGAATTGACAATAAAAATCCTGTCCACTGACTAAGTCGTATTTTTTTTTAATGCTTCGATTATCTCTCTCTCAAATGAGGGGGTTGGACTAAACGATCTCTAAGTGCTCACTAGAGCTGAACATTCTGAATCTAAAAAAAACACCAGCCCTGACCGGGTGGCTGTCAGTTACAGGATCCCGTCCACCAAAAGGCTGCAGGTTCAATTCCAAGTCAAGGCACATACCCAGGCTGCAGGTTTGATCCCAGTCAGGCGGTGTACCGGAGACAACCAATCGATGTTTCTCTCTCTCTCTCTCTCTCTCCCCTTTCTCTCTCTCTAAAAAAATTAATAAACATACCTTTGGGTGAGGATAAAAATAAGTAAAATTTTAAAAATAAAAAATACCACACATTAATATAAAAGGAAAAATTTGTGTTAAGATATATTCACAGAAAGTTTCCTATTAGAAAACATGAATATTTTTCTGGGAGGAAAAATAAATCCTCTAACACAGCGGTCGCCAACCTTTCGGACCTCACGGACCATCAGTGGTCCTCGGACCACCGGCTGGCGACCGCTGCTCTGAAAGGTCAGAACACAAAGACAATAAAAGTCACACGCACCGACACACCCGCTAGCCTGCGCTGCTTCTCTCGCACCTGCCTGTCCGCTCCCACGGGCACAATGTGCTCGGGCAGGCGGGGCTGCCGCAGGACCCCTTTCCACACAGAAGGAGGGACTTTTAAACACTCTCTGCTGCTACTGAACCTGCTGGGCAGGCACCTGAACTGCCAACCTGCTCTCTCTCAACATGGTCCTTGGGGCAGAACACAGACCCCGAGTTCCATGAACGAGAAGCCAGAGTTCCTGCTGGGCCGGGGCAGAGCGCCAGGTCTGCGTCTCTGCTTATTCAACAGGCACAGCAGGCGGCCTCTGGGGTCAACCGGCACACCCTGCACAATTCGGCACACCCTGCACAATTCGGTGTCAGCCAATGTTTGGAGTAGAGGGATGACTTCACTTAAGCAAGGGTGTGCTCAGCTATATACTCTTCCAGGTGTGAAAAGGATAAATTACATTTCAGATACCAGAATTATAAAGAAAAAAAAAATCTGCCCAGCCAGTGTGGCTCAGTGGTTGAGTGTAGACCTATGAACCAGGAGGTCAGGGTTCAATTCCTGGTCAGGGCACATGCCCGGGCTGTGGGCTCAATCCTCAGTGTGGGGCGTGCAGGAGGCAGCCCATCAATGATTCTCTCTCATCATTGATATTTCTCTCTCCCTTCCTCTCTAAAATCAATAAAAATGTATTTAAAGGAAAAAGTCTGCTTAAATAAGAGTGCAGAGGTTTAAATGATAAGCAAGAATCTGTCAACAATTTAGGGGCAAGTTTCAAAAATGAAATGTGCAATTTCCTTCCCTTGAAACTAAAAAAAAATAAGTTAGCTAACCCCCAAACCCTGAACTATTTAAGTCTGGAGATTACTAAAAGAACTAAACTCTTCCAGTGAACTCCAGCATTCAACCTACTCATTTGATTTTACACTTTCAGGTGACAGATTATTTCCCGTCTCAATAACGGTTTCAATGGCTTTTCTAATGCACAGTCTCATCTGCATTCCCAGCATCCTGAGGAGGGAGGGTAGTGCTCATTCCCATGAACAGGCCAAGCAGTGAGGTCGCTGGGGCTGGAACCCAGCCCATCAGTTGCATGAAAATACTGAGACTTTTTTCCAAAGGAAGGGACCACCTGCTACTGAGAGCGCTCAGCTGTACCTGCGATAGCAATGCGTCCCACTCCCTCCTCCGGCCGACCGCGCCTCCGAGAGCGAGTCGGCCTCGCTGTGGCCGGGGGGCGTGCCCAGGTCTGTGAGTGTGCTCCTGCTCAGGCTCGTCCCCAGGGAGCACCCCTCGAACCCGGGACCCTCGGCGGGCTTGTCCTCCTCCACGGGCTCCCAGACGTGCCTCTCGAAGGGACCTATGTTTCTCTGCACGCGTTTGAGGGCCTTCACCCTCACTTTGTGGATGGAACGCATGACGACAGACATCGCTTCCTCGGTGTGGGGGCCTGGGAGGAAAGAAGGCAAGGCTTCCGCTCATTAAGAGGTTTCAGCTCGCCCTGACCGGTTTGGCTCAGTGGATAGAGCGTCGGCCTGCGGACTGAAAGGTCCCAGGTTCGATTCCGGTCAAGGGCATGTACCTTGGTTGCGGGTACATCCCCAGTGGGGGGTGTGCAGGAGGCAGCTGATCGATGTTTCTAACTCTCTATCCCTCTCCCTTCCTCTCTGTAAAAAATCAATGAAATATATATATATTTTTTAAAAAGGTTTCAGCTCGAGAAGGGGCCTGACTCTGGTCCCTCCTGAGGACACAAAGCCCTCCGACAAGTAAGGCCCCTTCCCCTCCAGATCGGGCCTCCATCAGGACTCGTTAGGCCACAGTCCACACTCCCCGCAGAAGCCGGAGAAGGCCCCTAAGAGTAAAAGGGACAGGACCCTGGCCCGGCCGGCGTGGCTCAGTGGTTGAGCATCAACCCAGGAACCAGGAGGTCACGGTTCGATTCCTGGTCAGGGCACATGCCTGGGTTGCCAACTGGATCCCCAGTGTAGGGCGTGCAGGAGGCAGCCAATCAATGACTCTCTTTCATCATTGATGTTTCTATCCGTCTCTCTCTCTCTCCCTCTCTCTCTCTGAAATCAATAAAAACATGTATTTTTTTTTAAAGTGTATCCTGGAAAACAAAAGTTACGAAGTAATTTAACCACCTTAGACATCAGAACAATAACTAAAAAAGAAACACTAACACTTTTTCTATCCCCACAGAGCGGTAAATAAGCGAAAATGAGTATAATCTTAGCCAAAGAACAAGGACACCTTCTGACTTCAACTAATGGGAAACAATGGAAAGGGAAGTTTTTTGAGGCTGCCTATAAAAAAGTTTAAACGTCAATACCTAACAAGACATTTTAGGTTTTAGAGAATGTCAAAAACATCTTTAGAAAAATAGAAATCAGGCCCTAGCTGCTCTAGCTCGGTGGATAGAGTGTCGGCCTGCGGACTGAAGGGTCCCAGGTTAGATTCTGGCCAAGGGCACATGCCTGGGTTGCAGGCTCCATCCCCAGGAGCATGGGTGCAGGAGGCAGCCGATCCGTGATTCCCTCTCATCATTGATGTTTCTCTCTCTCTCTCCCTCTTCCTTCCTCTCTGAATCAATAAAAATATATTTAAAAAAAATAGAAATCATAAGTGCAGTATAAGGATATGAATGCAGTCATGTGCAATCACAGGACAACTAGACCTAAATACTAGATTAGCTCTAAACATGTGGGTAATTTGAATTCTTTTAACATTTCCACATCATGGTCAAGGCACCTAATGCCACTGAACTCTACACTTAAAATGGCAAATTTCATATTATGTATGTTTACCACAATAAAAAAATAATTTCCACAAGATCATCTTGAATGTGTAGGATAAACCTAGAAGCATAAATAACCATAAAGAGAAAGAATACTAGTTTTCAATAAAATATCCAGATTATGAAAAGCACTATATGCTCATTTTATAGAATTTATCTTACTTAATCCTCTTTCAATACACATTCTTAGGCCCGGATTAAGATAGTCATTTCACAAATATGGAAATGAGGCTCGGAGAGACTGAGCCCCTTGCCCGGTCACACGTTAGTTACTAAGTGACAGAGCCACGCGGGAGCCGGCTCCTGTCTGCTCCCCGCGGATCTGGTGCTGCTGTGCAGGGGAAGGGCCCCGCCTGCTCACCCCCGTCTCCGATGAGAGGAGAGGAGAGGAGAACTGGAGGACCAGTGCTTTCCAGACAGACGAGGGTCCCCAGCAGCCCGCCCAGCAGATACGGAGAAACGACGGACAGTACCTTTCACGACGCAGTGGCCGAGTCTCTGCCGGAGGGAGTGATACTTTTCTCTTAAAGGAACCCTTATGTCCTCAGGATTGGGAAATGCTTTCACAAACATGTCTGCTACCTTCAGAAAAATTAAAAAGTGAGCTTCATGAGCAACATCATCCTTAATTAAAAGAAAAATCCCTTAGAGTTTCTGATCCTGACTTAGTTACGGTTCACCGACATTCACATTACCTTCCTGATCGGTGGCAGGTCTCCAATAAGGCTCAAAATGAGGTCCTGAATCAGTTCTTCGATGTTAGAAAACCGAGAGAAGGGCAGCATTCTGCAAGCCCACTCCACCGCACAGAGACAGTGCTCAACCGCGCAAGAGTCAAACTCCACTGCCAGGTCCTAAACGGACATTGAAAAAAATCAATCCTTTTCCCTCTAGATGGGCAGGCCAGAACACATTCAAAAGAAAATGTGCTCCAAACACTAAAACCTATCAAGCAACAGTTTTGCAAGTAATGCCTGTTCGTTTTTCTTACTCTTTTGCCAGGTAAGTACCTTCTTTCCCTCCACGTTTTCTCTTGCTTTCTGATACTGCCTGCAACTAGAGGATAACTTATCGCGGACATGCAGCATCCAGCACAACGCACACAGCTCTCGGAAGCACCCTAAGTCAGGACACAAACAGGAGAGGTCGTATGAGGACGGACACTGATTAACAACGTCAACTCTCTCTGCTTGTTTTTTTTTCCCCCACAAAATACATGTATTTTCTTTTTTTTAAAATATATACTCTATTGATTTCTTACAGAGAGGAAGGGAGAAGGATAGAGAGTTAGAAACATCGATGAGAGAGAAACATCGATCAGCTGCCTTCTGCACACTCCCTACTGAGTATGTGCCTGCAACCAAGGTACATGCCCTTGACCGGAATCGAACCTGGGACCCTTGAGTCCGCAGGCTGACGCTCTATCCATTGAGCCAAACCAGTTAGGGCTAAACGTATTTTCTTGATTATAAAAGAAACATATACTCATCATCAACACCTTACATAAAGTCATAGAGAACCTTCCAGAATTTTTATGTATATTATTAATCTGAAATAGTTCATGCAGGTCGGTTGCATGAAAACATTAAAAACACTGTTAAAGAATAAATAACTTACTCTATTACTGGTAGTTACTTGCTTTAAGCTCAATAGTATATGGTAGATACTATTTAAGCCAATGTATTCACCTGTACTTAATGCTATATAGTTAATTTGTTTGGAAAATCACTTATAGATAGGCATTTAAGTTTAAAATTTTTCTATACTAAAACATAATTTCCAATATCAATTAATATTCTTTATTAAAACCAGTACAGCCCTGGACGGTTTGGGTCAGTGGATGGAATGTCAGCCTGCGGACTGATGAGTCGCAGGTTCGATTCTGGTCAAGGGCACATGTCTGGGTTGAGGACTCAATCTCCTGTGGGGGTGTGCAGGAGGCAGCCAATCGATGATTCTCATCATTGATGTTTCTCTCTCTCTCTCTCTCTCTCTCTCTCTCGCCCCCTCCCTCTCTGAAATCAATGGAAGCATATTTAAAACAAAAACAAAAGCAATACAAGTACATAAAGACATATAAAATCCTATTACGCAGTTTTCTTTTCTCTTCACCTATTGTATCTTGGATTGCTTTCCATGGTGCTAACACACACAGTCTTTTCATTGCCAGGAGAGTATTCTGTTGTATGGAAACTTCCCCAAATCAAGTGTAAAGTAGATCATTTATTAATAGCCTAAGCAAGCAGTTCCTTTGGGACAAACCTATTGCTTTAATGGAAACCTCATCCAGCTTGTTGTCTCCCGTTGCTCCAGGTCGGAAGAAGGCTACGCCGCCCACACAGTAGTGAAGCAGTGACGGAGGGAAGGGACTCAGGGACGGGAGGGACCCTTTCATTCGAATCTGAAAGTGAAGAAGGACAGGATATGTTAACTGTCAGCTGCATAAATCAATGTCTAAGGAAACTATAAAGCAACAGGCAGCAGGTAAAGATAAGCCACAGAGAATGGAAAACACAGCAAGGCTCCTATACGACCCAAGAAAAGCATCCTGAAATGAGCCATACTTTCAGAAACTCAGCTCACACATTTACTTCAAAAAGTTCACTAGCCCATCCCTGGGAAAAACAAACAAACAAAGAAAAAAGTTCACTAGGCTCAATCTCAAAAGAGAACAAAAGGTTTAATCAAATTATCCTTTTGTCACTCAGTTATGTCCGTACAAAAAGAATTTAAAGCTTTTGTCCTTTCTCCAAAGGCATGATAAAGAAATTAAAGTATCTAACTTTCACCTAAAATAAAACTATGTGTACGCCCAGTTGGCATGGCTCAGTGGTTGAGCCTCGACCTGTGAACCAGGAGGTCACGGTTCAATTCCAATTAGGGCGCATGCCCAGGTTGTGTGCTCAGTCCCCAGTGGGGGATGTGCAAGAGGCAGCCAAGCGATGATTCTCTCTCATCATAGATATTTCTCTCTTTCTCCCTCTCCCATCCTCTCTGAAATCAATAAGAATATATTTAAAAAATAAAACTATGTGTAGTACCTAAAAACAAATACAAAATAAGGTAGATCTACATACATAACTTTTGAAAAACTAATCCATAAATGACAGAATTAGAAAGTCACCATTTGGCAACCCCTAATAAAATAAGACTTCTAGCAAGGATCATCAATAAATGCTAAATTTAGTGAAAAGTTGATGAGTGATGGATAACGTGCCAGTGGGTGGGTCATGACACAAACTCACTGGCCCGCCTCACAATCACTGAAACCAGATAAGGTGACAAGACTAAGGAGCACTAATTGGTGGTTACAGAATAGTCACAGGGATGTAAAGTCCAGCATAGGGAAATCTATATACAGTGGGGCCTTGACTTACGAGTGTCCCGACTAACGAGTTTTTCGAGATACGAGCGGTCTCTCGGCCGATTTTTTGCTTTGAGTTGCGAGCTAAAATTCGG